TCAAATTTTCCATCCAGTGCTACGCTTTTCAAAATTTATAAGTATTTGCTTGAACTTTGGAAAAAATTCTTTCATTCAAGTGTAAGTTATCGCAGGCTTTATTTATTTTATTCTTTAATTCTGCTCGAGCCTATAAATAATTTTTCAAAATTATTTGGAAGTTATTCCCCCTTTCACATTCCCAAGTTCATAATGACCGAGTAAATATTTTTTTCCAATAATGCCACCCCAAGCATTAATCCTGAAATCTCTTTGATAACTGTTAATGTGTGGGAATTGTGCAAGTTCACCGTTTCTGGTGAAAGTTACCTCGTCTGTAAATAAAATATTTTGCAGGAATAATGGATTATTTTGCTTTTTTTGTCCTTAATATCTAACAAAACCTTTTCCTTAACATAAGATTTGGGAGTTCTAGGCAAAAAAAAAAAATTTTTTATTTGATCAATATTCTTGGGGTATGATAAGGCATGATTGAGCTAAGTCAATATAAATGTTTAAAGAATTTAAATATTGCTTTTCCAATGAGTACTGTTTCATCATTAAAAAGCATACAAAGTAACAGTAATTTTCAAGCAATAAAGTAACAGTAATAATGGTTACTCTTTTTATTATTATATTAAATCTTTATTTGTGCTCAAATAGTTAATGGACAAAACCATGATCAGGTTTAAGTTCAGTTTCTTATCAAAATAAAGTCCCAGCAGAAGAATTAATTTTTTCAAATCATCGAAGTGCCATTATTTATCATATTTTTATGAGAATTTTATTTTGTTTTTGAGTAAATATAAGAATATATAAGAATTTCTCTTAAAAGGATGATATAAAATTACAGTATATACAGTAAAAACTTAAAAAATCAAATACTCGTATCTAGGTCATTCACAAATTTTATTTACAAAGAAAATACTTAATTTTTATTTTATGTACATAAATTACATAAACTTTTCCAATATACTTATACTCGTAACATAAAAATGAATTATTTTTGGCATAAGTGGTTTTTATGTAGAGTATATATACTCGTACATACGTGCATTAACAAATACAATATAAACTTTTAAAAATATTTTATCGATGGCTATAGTAAAAACTATAGTTCACTTTTGAATGAAAAATAGAAAAGAAATTTTGAAGCAAATTATTCGTTTCAATTTTGATATTTAAAAGTAGAGCATATTAAAGTTTCCCTTTAATTAATTATAAATTTATAATTTATATGGCATATTGTACTTTTCCTCAAGTTCTTTTATGTGTTTTATTTATACCTATTTGCAATAATTTAAAATATTACCATATTTTTGAAAATTAAAAAAAACAGCTTTTAAATTCATTCTTCTATTCTAACGTTATTCTTAATATTATTTATATTTAAATATACATTAAATTATAATAAATAATAAGGTTTCATCCCTAATTAATTTCAAAAAATACTATGTTTTAATTTATAACTACATGAGTACATTCATATAAATATTTTCATACCAAATATTACACAATATATATACATATAACGAAGACTATGAGTAGATAAAAATAGTATATAAAAATAAATAAAATTTTTTTTTATACAATTTGTATCTAAATAAAAGTATATGAAAAAATTTAATTTTTTATCTATCTATATACGTTTGTTTAGATTTTGTTTTGTTCGAATAATTAAATGGGATGCTGCTCTTTCCCATTACACTATAAATAGATTACGTTTATTCACCTATATGTATGTATCAGCGCTATTCAACCAAAAATTCTAAGGTTCCAATACGGTAATTCAGTGGTATAGAAAATATTGTTGCTTAACTCGATTTGAATTTTGATTTAAGCTATTTTTAATTTATAATAAAATTAAAATAAGGCCCAGAAATCCTAATGGATATGCGCAAAAGGCAGCTCACTCTTAAAGGATTTAATATAAAATTGAAAAGAAATACTTATATAGTTTAGAACAGTAACCCATTTTAAATTCATACAATTTCAAATTTTTTTAATCAAACTTAATGTAGACTTTATCACACAAGCAGTACATTCAAATATCTAGAGAATCTATAAGAGTCCATTAACTAACTTTAAAAACAAAATGTATGGAGATGTAGTTCAAAGACCCATTAATAATTCATTGTTGACACATTAGTTGACGAGAATTAAAACCAAATTCATAATTTCACACACCTCAAAATAAGATTAACATTTTTTGTAATAAAACATGAGAACTCGCACTCGAACTTTCATTTCTTGAACAATATCAATATTTTATTAAAACCATCATAATATTCGAACTTTTTTCTTAAAAAATTGTTGTTTGCAAAGACCCTGTAAATTTTAAAAATTTTAAAATTTCAATCCCATTTAAAAATATTTACAGGTCTGATACATCTCTCCGTAGTGTCTCCGCAAATAATGCATTTAATACCTAATTACAATTTTGTATAGAGCTAAAATATGTTTATTTAAACATCCGTTGAAATTTTTGCAAAATTCTATTAAAATTCTTAAAAGAACCGTTCGACGAACAGGTGACTACAGAATTTATCATTTAACTTTTGTTACTTTCGTTTAAAAAAAAAATGTTCAACTTTTGCTTTTTACATTTCGGTTTAGGTCATTTAAATTGCAATGAAAACAATATTTGCGAATGCATGCATACATACATATGTATATGTATACTCGTATGTAAGTATTGAAATAAATTTGAAATATGCAAAGTATTTGTAGATGTAAGAATTTTTTTGAATTTTACTTTTAATGTGGGTGTGTAGCAATTAAATGAATGAATTCTGAATATGAAAAATAATTTATTAAAAATGATCTTATCTGTGCATGTTTTTGAATGATTGATTTGAGCTATTAAAGGATTGCGAATTCATAAAAATAAAGCTAACCGGTCGATTAAATTTGAATTTCTACTAAAAGCTATAGTAAACGGCTTCATTGTTTTAAAGCTGCGTATGCCATAATACAGTCTCCAGATTAAAAGAAAGTAAGACATCGTACATTATCCTTTGTATTAATTAGAACTTAGAAGTTTATTAATACAAAGAATAATGCAATGAACCCATCCAACATTTTCCTCTATCTCCCATGGTTTTGCCAGTAAAACGTATTAAATGTATTAAAAACATGCGAAAAATGCAAATTTCATATATTTTTTTTCTGAAATTTGATCGAAAAATCAAAGCTGAAAGTATTTGTCCCCAAATTTTCACAAATGATTTATTGTAGTAAGTGCCAGAACCCTATTTAAATTGGACATGATCGGGGTACCGGTTGGGGTAGCTGCCATACAACTTCAAAATTTATTTAGCTATATCTCAGAAACTATAACAGCTGTGGTATTGAAATTTCACACAAACAAATATATTAGTAGCTCCAATGTGTCTCATAAAAGTCGTTAAAATTGCTTGGCTCCTTCTGGTACCTGCCATACAACTTCAAAAGTTATTTGGCTATATCTCAGGAACTATAAAAGCTGTGGTGTTGAAATTTCACACAAGCAAATATATTAGTAGGGCCGATGTGCTTGATAAAATTTGTTAAAATTTCTTGGCTCTTTCTGGTAGCTGCTATACAACTTCAATAGTAGTTTGGTATACACAGTATTTTGAAAAACACTTTGTACTGAAATTTTGCATAAATTAATATGGTAATACGGCAACTTAAAGTCATAGTCTGTTCCATAGTCAGTTATGGCATTTTTATTCGCACATAGGATAACAGATTCGTACGGGTATCACAGAGTTGACAAGGTCAACTCTATTTTTTTTCTCGTTTCTTATAAATTTGATGGTTTATTACAAAGCAGTACTTCGAGATAGTCAACATTTTTAAAATACATATAATATTGTTTATGTGTATATCTTGGTGCGGTCCTTTTCTTATATGCTCTCAATTTTTTTAGATAATTAATTTTATTCTTATAGATTTAAAATACGAAAAAGAAAAGTTAAAGTAAATTTTGATTTAAATTTACTATAAATTTTCAATCAGCATACAACAACAAATTTTTTCATATATCTAGAAAACTGAAAAGCAAATATCAATATAAATAGTTATGGTGAAGTATAGTTCTTCTTAGTACACTTTGGTTTTGCTAAGATTTCTTGAATTTTAAATTATACATATAAAACCTAAATATTATTTGAATACAACAATAAAATAAAATTAAAATTAAAACAAATTATCAAAAACAACGAAAAAAAAAATATTTATATTAAAATTAGCTTATGAAAGTGGCACAAACATTATTGGGTACAAGAATATTTACTGCATTTATGAAAGCAACATTTTATGGTCATTTTGTAGCCGGTGAAGATCAAGTTAAAATTGTTCCAACACTAGAAAGGTAATTATTTTTTAATTAATTTCAAAATAATACTAATTTTTTTTTTATTTTCTTTTTTCTTTCTTTTTTGTACTTATTTTTATTATTTTTTTGTATCCAAAATTTTATTTTTTAATTTCACGATTTTTTAATCAAAAAACTAATTTTAAAAAATTATTTATGGGTGATATAAAATATGGCTGCACTACAAAACTACATAAAAACGTATTTTTGAATGGTTGTTCAATCCCGTAAAAATTTTCTTTTAAATATATATATTTTTTTTTGGTACCGTAATCTTTACCTTTTTGAAATTTTCTCCAAACGCTTTTACATTTTGGTTTTTTAATTCCAAAATTAATACACATTCGATAAAACTGATATTAAATTACAAAAACAAAAAATTTTTAATTTTTGATATATAATTCAAATTTTTAAAAATGACATTTATCTGACATCATTAAATCAACTTTTGACGTTTGAATTTATTAATTTGATATATCGAAAATTTGACATTTCTTACACACACATGACATCAAAATTAATTATCGTAAAATTTTTATAACATTTACAATATTTTGTAAATTTGACATACGTATTAAAATACTTTTCGGAAAATATTTTAAATTTTCCATGACACACCCGAAAAAAAAATTAAATACAATTAAAAAACAAAAACATAAAGATCATGAAATTCTGTAAAGCAATTACCGGTGATAAACTATTCGAATTGCTTATGAAGTCTACATTTTATGGACATTTTGTAGCTGGAGAGAACCGACATACAATTGTACCAACATTAGAAAGGTTTTTATTTTGTTTTTTCGTTTATTTTGTTTTATTCGAAAAATAAAATTTATTTGTTTGTAAGAAAATGTAAAATGATTGTTTAATTTTTGAATAATTTTTATTATTGAATTGTTTGTTTTTTGTTATATTATATAATTTGCATAATATTAACAATAAAATTTCATATAATACTTTCATTCTATTTTATTAGTTCTCAAAAATTAATATTTTTTTACAAAATGTTATGTTTGTTCTTCTATTGTTTTTCCTTTAAATTTTAATTTTATTTTTGTTTTTAATAATAATATTCGTCTGTACTTATACATATAATATGTACAACATACACATACATAGACATTTTATTATTTACAAGAAAAATATATTTTTTGTTCTGTCAAATTGTTGTATTTTGACAAAGATTGATGCATGTTTTTTTTAGTTTTTATTCTTTGTTTTGTTAAATTTTTAGTTTTGAAATTTATTTTATACTTTATTCAAATTAATTATACATACATATATGTACATACGTTATACATGTTAATTAATTAATTTTACATTACAAAGGAAGTATTTTAATAATCCAAAAAACAGAAGACTAAATATTGGTTATGTTTATTGGAAATCTAGTTTTCACATTGGAATCAAAAATTATACTAACAAATATTAATAAATTATATAGAATTTTGTGCAGATTATTAAACTATCTTTTTTACCATTAAGTCTGTCTCTTTACGGTTTATATAAATTTTCGCAAGAAAAGCTCAAGTGTGAATGATCAATTTATGGCTCTCGAATTTGTCATTCCCACTCACACCAAGGCAAAATAAACGACCAATTTACGGCTTTCATTTTGAAATATTTTTCTAAATGAAATTCTTCTTTCTGATATTTTATAAAATTGACGTTTGTCTACTTCTTGTCGTGGTTTTCTTCATTTTTAAATTTTTGCCAATTTTTTTTTAATATTATCTTTCTTAAATTTCAAATTATTTTCTTAAAACGTTTACAGTAAAATATAACAGATTCGTGATACGGATACGTCAAATTCTAAAAACATTAACAAAACTCATATTATTTAACCCATTTTTTGAAATTTCTCATCTTTCAAATAAGTTTGTTAAAAATTTAAAAAATATTATTTACATAGGAACAGTGTCTAACAAATGTTATTTTTTCAATTGCCTCTAATGGGTTAATAGCATTTACTATTTTTTTTAAAAATGGGGCACATTTTTACAATGTATGTTCCAACTGTAATTTAATTTCTTGCATGTTACAATAATTGTTCAAGCTGTAAACATTCATAATTGAAAATACTGTTTTAAAAGTAATTATTTAAATTAATTCAAATTTATGCAAGTACGTATTGGTCTTTTATATATAATATTTACTAGAAAATTATTCAATCTTTTACTTTATAGCATAACTAAGTATACAATATACAAAAGACAATTAATATGAACAAAGACTAAATCACTTAGATTTTCATGTTCTTTTTAAAAAATCTGTTTACAATTATGTAGTCTTAATATCAAGGAAAGAAAATCTAACTTTACTGCTATATTAGAAAAAAATCTTGAATGACATTAACATTTTCTTAAACTGATATGAGAGAATTACACAACTAAAATATGAAAATTACAGACTAATCTATCATGTTAAACTAGTGTTTTTGTTATGAATCACTAAAATTAAAATTCTAACATTATATTTATCATAATTTTATTTTATAAAATTCATTACATTATTTATATATCATCATTAATTTCATTTAAAAATTAAATAAATTTATAAAAAGCATTATTTTTAATTTAAAAACATTAAATTATTTCTTTTTTCAATTTTTCTTATTTATGTATACATGAAGACTTCGATCGTTCGGTGTTAAACCAATTTTAGATTATTCAGTTGAAGAAGATCTTTCACAAGAAGAGGCTGAGAAGCGTGAAGTTGAGTAAGTTTATATAGTTATTATTATATAAGTAATAAAAAAAAGCTTATAATATGTAATTAAACAAAGTTATAAAAACATAAAATTTTATATTTCAGAGCTTCAGTATCAAGCGCACCAGCACAAGGAGCTGCACCAGCAGCTGAAGAAGCTCCTGTTTCTTTACCACAATATCATGTTGATAAATCGTTTGCTGATCGTCGTTATAAAGTTCAAAGCGCTAGAACATACTTTTACTTAAATGAAGCAACTTGTGAACGGAATATGGAAATTTTTATTAAATGTTTAGAAGCTGTCGCCGGTAAGATTTTTTTACAATAATTTTTTAAGTATCTATATATGAATGAAAGTAGTTATAATTAAAAACAAACAAACATTTGGAAGTTAAATAGAAAATTTCATTGAAGTTAATTGCCTATTTCTTAAAAACTGGCCCACATTTAGAACAGGAGAAAATGATAAAATTAAAATATAAGACTATGCTTTATTAAACATTATAAAAAATCTATAGGTAGAAGTATATGTACACACAATCTTATAACTTATGAACTTTAAGTATGCTCATTAGCGAGTTTTTAATTTTTTTTTAAACATTTTGACTGTTTTCCATTTCAATGTTAATAAAATCAAAGTAAGGATTAATAACAAAAATATCTTCCGAATGCTGTTGATATCCAATATGTATTTCGAAATTCTTTACATTTCAATTTCTTGAAAGCTACTTTATTTCGAACGCTCTCTTCTTTTTAATTAAGTTAAGAAGACTATGCATTCTATAGCTTTTGGTATGCATTCTAGTATAAAAAGCCAATTAAAACATAATATTTTAAAAAGCTTTCACCAAATTATTTAGATAAAGCAACTATAAATAGCTCAAATTTTAATTCAAGTGTTTTTAAAATACTTACGCATTAAAAGGATAACCATACAACAATAAAAAATTTTTAAAGAAAATAAATTTGTGAATTTCACTTTTAACATTTCGTTTTTATTTTAAAACAAAAAAAAATAATTATGTATAAAATATTGACGCAAGAAAATTGTATAAGAATTTAAATTTTAATTATTAATTATGATGTGTGTATTAAGATTATAAATAAATGAGTTAAGTGTATATACTAAGTACACATTACAAGTATTTAAAAGATTTTGTCAAACATCAATAAAATTTAGTATTGTGACTTATGAGTGTGAAGATTTCATAATTTTCTGTTTCTACAATCCTCTGTCCTTGAAATTTATTTTTACTTTTACTTTATTTAACTGAGGACATTTTATTATATTTAGTAGAGCACAAAAAAAAAACAAATTATCAAACAATTCATAAGCGAACAATTAACTAACAATAACTTTTTCAATGATTTAGCACAAATTTTTTATATAGCGTACATACAGTACTTTCTACTTATATGAAACTTTCACTTATATGAAATTTAAAATATTTTTACAATAAATTAATTCTTGATATTATTTTCAGGCTTATTGTTTCAGAATGGTGAAACCATTCTTACTTCTAAGTACTGTAAACGCAGATTACTTAAAATTTTCTTTGACTCTTCTATTCGAAAAGAGTATAAAAAAATATCAGAATATCGAATCAATATTTAAAATTAAATATGTATATTAAAGTATATACTAAATTATAGAACAGTTTGTTTTCAGTACAGTTTCCACCAAATATAGTCATATAAAAAATACAGTCATATTCATACATTTTCTCATTGAAAATTAACACTACTTTTTTGGAATGGAGCTAAGAGTTTAATTTAACTTTTATTTGCTATCAAGCATAAAATCTCTGGGTTTTATATTTTGGCTCTCAAACTCCTAATAGTAATTAGGTTAATAATAGCTAGTTTTTTATTCAAGATTTCGAAATGAAGTATATTACACTTTAAAAACTATAACTATACACAAAAACACATTTTAGCTAATAAAACTCGATCATAATCTGAACACTATACAGCATAGTTTGCTATAATTTTTGAAACTTTATAAAGAACATTGAAATTCGAAATGACATTTTAAAAATTAAATTAGCTAGTTAACAAAAATATTTAAGGGAACTAGAAATTATCTGATTATTTAATTAATACTCAAAACCATGAATACAAATTACTTGAATAAAAATTTGTATTTTAAAACCCATAAGTGTGAACATGTGTGAGTAAAATTGGAAATTAATGAAAGACAAGGCATAAGAATTTTTAGCAATTAAAAACCTAATTAAAATTAATGATAGCTATTTCGCGTTATGCAAATTTAAACAAAATATTCAGCACATGTCTGCAAACAAGTCCCTCAATCCCGGAATAATGCAAACAGAAATTTTTTCAAAAAATTAATTTTAAAACTGATTATGAATTCTAAATTTGTATTTTAGGATTTTGTAAAATATTTTTAATCTTTAAAGTAAAAACTTTTTAATTTACTTCTGCAACGATCGCGTAATTTATCGTTAGTCAATATTATGTTAGAATAGAAAGTGCAAATCAACCAAAAATCTTTAGATTATTAAACTTTCAGAAAAGAATTATTTAGAAAGCTATATTTTTTGTACAATTCTTATAATATTTTTTAAAAAATTTAAATTATTTTTAGTATCGAAGGTCAATTTCCGTGTCTATTTGGTTTGTTCTATTTAAAAAAAAAAAATATTTAAAAAAATCCAAGGTTTTTTTTTTTTTTTTGAAAAGTAATGCTAAAATTTTATACAAGAAAAACAAACAATAATTCAAATTGAAAACGAAATTCCGATGACGTCTTCTTTTTTTATTTATCTCACCATAAGAGAAATTTTATTTTATTCTGACTAATTTCCTCTATTATAACATAGACGCATTAAAATTATTTTAAAAATAAAAATTTTTTCTAAAAATTTCACTATTAAAATCTTTAGCATGGTGTGACTGTTAAGAAAAAAACGTGACTATCGCAGTTTTTTGTTTTGTAAATATTTTTTTTTCCACTTAGATGCTTAAATTGCTCTTTTCTTGGCAAGCTTTTGTGAAAAATTCTAAACATTTTTATTTAAAAAAAAAAGCACCTATTGAACACAATCTGTGATTTTATTTTAATCTATACATATAAAACTTAAAGTTGTATTAGTTATTAGTTGGGTGGGTGTGTTTTCTGATATACATACATACGTATAAAAAATGAACAAAAAAGTTTCAAATAATAAAAATTAAAAACAAAAAGCGAAATTTATCATACAGCGAAACCAATATATTATGTCAATCACTTTATTTTGTCCAGTTACATAAAAAATTACTTTCATGTTTCGAAAAATTGCTTATGTTTGCAAATAATTATTCAAATTATTCCTGTAAATCCATTTGTCGCTTCTCTAAGATCACTTTTTTAAAAAGTTTCTTAAGAACAAGGAGGCTTTAACCTAATAGTCGAATTCAAAATTCAATGAGTGAGTTAAGAAAAATTATTATATTTTTTGATGTCATGGCATTTTCGATGGCAGTTTTCTTCATATAGTCTAGAGAAATTTGGAAAAGTTTGCAATTTCGGGAATATAAAGAGCCGGAATTTCAATTTTTACAAATTTCGAGAGACACTAACAGCTGGAAAAATTTATTTTCTAATCAAATAAATTCTTTATTACTATCAAAAAGTTACTAAAATTTCAGACTCCTATAACTTATCGTCTAGAAGAAAAACGATGTTAAAAATTTGAAAAAATAAAACGATTTTCGATAACCGTAACAGTATTTTTCAACATTTGCAGAAATTAAAAAATGTTGATTGTTGCGTTACAACAAATAATCAAAAAATTTTATTTTTAGAACTTATATGGGGATAGATAAAAATTTTCTTATACGAAAGTACATAGGTTTCTAGTAGAAGTCTAGAATGTCAGCGTTTTATCCCAAAAAAGTGTAAAGATTTTAAAAACAGGCACACAAAACAACGGATAAACAGACAGAATGAAACTAATGAGCACTTTTTTTTAAATAAGCAAATTTTTTTTTTGAAAAATGCTAAAAATTACAGTTATGTATACGACACTTCATAAGTAACAAAATTTGAGGCAGTTATTTCTATAAAATACCAGGCATCCTAGTGGAAGATATAAGAAAACAAACATACAAGAAGATACAAAATACTCTGACTAAAGAATTTATTAGTTCAGTTGAGGGTTCGAAATATGTGGTGGGTTTTAAAGCAACTTTACCCCAATTTATTAGAGCATACAATTTTTTTCCATTAGTCGTTCGATTAATTATACAAAAAAAAATGTTTATTTCAAATCTGTGCAATTGCACGAGCTTTACTGTACTCTAGAAAATAATGCCAGATTTCATTGTGAAAATAAAACGTTTTTATTAATTTTTGGCATGATTTTCCATGCTTTCTATTATGATGAAACATTTTCCAAATATAAATAAAGTTGAAATGGCAAAAAATTAGGATGCGATTATCATTAATCAGTCATTTAACTTATTCAATTAAAAAAAAATATTGACGTCCTGAACACAAGATTTGATGACACCATTTGATAATTAACATGTTCCATAGAAAATAAAAGAAAACGTCAAACATTTCAAAAATTTTTTTGTAGAAAAAAAAATTTTAAAACACGGCGAAAATAATCTAAAAACAATTTTTTTTTTTACTTTTGAAATAACTTTGAACTTTAGAATAAAATTTGTGCTTTTTTTTGGTCTCAAACTTTACTTCTTAGATTTGTTAACAATTTTTTTTATTTATATTCACAAACACATGCATACGCATATGTATGTATATGTATGTATTTCTTACATATTTAAGAAAACCATGAAGTAAATTATAAAGTGTCCGTAAAAGAAAGATTTCCGAAGAGAGGAGTAACCGCTATGAAAATATTTTACAATTCAACAACTAAATTTCCACGTCTTCATATGACTTTGTTTTTGTTTTATATTTTGTGTAAATGGGAGAAAAAAGGTTAAGGAAATTCATTGGACTTTGAAATGTTCCAAAGTTTTTTTCAAATCTAGGCATAAATATGCATACATACGTACTTATGTTGAGTTGAATTTTAAGAATGGAAAATTTTTTAGAAAAAATTTTGACAAAATTTAGCGAAACTGATCAAAGTCCAGAGTCTAAAAATGTATGAAATATTCTAACCATTTATTTTATTTTTTAAATTTTGGGCATATTATATCATAAAAAATCTTTATTTGTAAAAGTCGTAAAATTAAAAAAAAAGAAATTTATTTCTTATAATTTAAAAGAACTTTGCGAAAATAAAAAAGAAAATCATTTTTTTTATTTTTTACATTTTTATAGGCAAAAAAAAAT